TAGTAGTAGTTAGTTAGTTTAGTTCGTACTTATTACTTACTTACTTACCTACCTCCTACCTACCTACCTACCTCCTCTTCTTCCTCCCTACCACCCTACCTCTCTCTCTCTCTCTCTCTCTCTCTCTCTCTCTCTCTCAAACAGTGAAATGTGGAGGTTGATGCCTTTTATCTGTATTTTTATATTTTGAGTACAATGTATTGAATCTACTACTTATTCATCTTATCTGTTGCTAAGTGTTATGTTGAAGTTATTCTGAATAGCATTTTTTGCCTGTCCTTTTCCTGCATCAAGGGCAGAGTCCAGTTTACTTAAAGCACGTTTAGAAACTCAAGCGAAGGAGCTCAACCAAAGAAAGCTGCAAATAAAGGAACTTGAAGAGACAGAAAGGGCAGCAAATGAAAATGTGATATACATGCCTAAATTTTCTTTTTGTATTTGTATCCTTCAATTTTTCTTCTTCTATAGCAAGTTTTTGCATGTCTCATTGCTTAAACTTATTCACTTTAGGCCTTTAGGGTTGGAGAATATTGAAGTTCCTTTTGTCAGGTTGAAGGCCTTATGATGGACATTGCTGCGGCAGAAGAAGAAATAGCAAGATGGAAGGCTGCAGCCGAACAAGAGGCAGCTGCAGGGAGAGCTGTTGAAGAAGAGTTTTTGGCGCAGGTATGCTAATCACCTGATCAGTTAGTTTTGATTTTTTTGCATTCTGACATAATAGTAGCTTATCATTTTTGAAACACTACATGGATGAGATTTGAACTGTAATTGGCTGTTTGATTTAGAACTTTACATGAACTGAGTGGTAGGTTCTACCCTTTCTTGGTCACGTCCATCCATTGATTTGGGAGTGATCTCAACTCTCGATTGTAATCTGGATCTTATTATATACTTTCTGTAACCTCTAACAAATAGTGTTTGGTTGTTTTTGTTTTAGTGTCCTTCAAGTTATCTTGATGCGTTTGATATTCAAATGATCGTTATGACAGCGAGTAGTGGGCCTTTAAATGAATGCATAAGTTATTCTTGTACGATATCTGGCTCTTGTTAATCTATAAACTACGCAATTTTTTACTGTTTCTATATTCCTGATGATTTGGCGGAAAGGGAATGCATGTAACCATCAAGTGTGAAGTTTGTTTACTCCTTGATGGCATTGAAGCATCTGTTTTTATTTAATATCACATCTTCTGTGCCTCAAGTTGTATTTCTCCCCAGCCTGTTGGCAGGTCACCAACTTACCTACCTGCAACCAGTGTTCCTCCCAAAGCTCCACTTGGTGGCTGGTATCGTGTGTTGACCGTTTTAAGTTTTGACACTTGGACACATGGTGGCATTTCAGAATTGGGTTTAAATAAAAAAATAAGAAATAGCTTTTACTAGAATTCGAACTTGAGACATCTTGTACGTGAACCTTACATTCCAATATCTCAAAGCACATGCATGTGTAAATGTAATGAAAAATGGGCTGTACGTACTAAAAGGCTATTTTTTAATTAAAATGATGATTGTATATATGTCTTGTACTGTTTTGGCTTTTCAGGCCAAATTACTGGACACCTTAGAGGCATCCTGGACACTGAAACTAGTACAGCTATCCATGTAACACTGCTGGAAACTCCATTCCAACTTTCATTCTCCTCAACATGTGCGAATATTTTTTGAGTGGCAGTTTTTTGCTTTAATCTCAATTCTATATCTTAGGGCTTACCTATTATGTTGTCATGCATTCTTCTTCCTTCCTTATTCTGAGGTCTTTTTCTATGTCTCATAACCGGTCACTGCCCACTTAATTAGCTTCTGTAACCTCATAGTCTTCACAGGCCTAGCCCTCAAATTGTATTAGATCCGCTATGGCTACTCTGTCCTAGGTTTTCCACCTCTCCTGGAGTTGGCTTCCCTTCCAGATGATCAGGAAAAGTAATGCATTATGACTTTCTGCACTGGTTTAACAATCTCAGTCAAAGATAGGCTACAGGGTGTAATTGATAGATCCACCATTCACGAGCATGGTTTTCTCAAATAACCCAAGAAATATAGAGTTGAAACATGAGCATTTGCCATGGGCTTTATCAAAATGAGGGTAACACAAAGAAACCTGATCCTTGAGATAATGGATCGTAGTAAATTCAGTGGCTGATGCCCTTCTGAACTCATTGATCGAATGAGGAGAAATATGGGACTAGAGTTCGAAAATGGTCAGAGGGAAGGTTAGAGTCAGTCCAAGACACAATCAGAATAGAAATTGCATGAAAGGATGTGATATGAGTTAGTCACAGTATTGCAGAGAAGGTCCTTGAGAGGGTAATTTGGCAAAGACATTGAAACTATGTTGATAGTTGATATTGGAAGACATTTAAATTGGGTGCACTTGAAGCAGTGGTCGTAAGTCAACATGGATTAGGGGTGGCACTGTAGATTAAAAGAATAGTTTTCGTTTTTGGAATTCAGTTTGACTCCGCATACCTGGATTTGTTCTGATTCTCATACTTCCCTTCCTACTCAGTCTGGATTGCAGGGCTTGGTTGTGTAAGCATTATTTGTAGCCCTGGGTCATAAGTTACACCGCAAATTAAGGGGATAGCATCGGCATATTGTCTTATTTGGAGTACCCTGTGCTAGTCACATCTGAATCATTTTACTCAGAATTATCTTTGTGGTTAGGACTTGAAATTTGATTTATGTTTTTAATTTATTGTTATTTTTTCATTCTCTTGCTATTTGCACTTGGAAGTATTTTTATGTAGGATTGCTTGTGTCCTTTATTAGGGAAATATGAGATTCCAAATTTTTCCTAGCAGTTATCCTAGATAATAATTAGATACATGTAAAAATTGAGGAAGATATTCCTAGTTGGATGAGCATGGGTAGTCTAATTTTTTGAACTCAAGCTGGACCTGGAGGGTGGTTTAATCATTGACAGGGCATTTTGGTTTGTACATAAGTTTTGTTTTGAGCCATACCATAACAAGACCAATGTTCTAAACTATAGTTACCAGGATATCCAGGCATAGTTGGCAATCTCTCTGGTACTCCAGTAAAGGGATATTAGAGGGATCTTGATTTGTAGATTTTGGGATCTCAATCCCTACTGTTAGGGATCGCATTTCCTACCAAGTATTTTAGCGATGATAGTCATGGTGGACACAATGGATTTCAACAGCAAGAGCTTCCATAGCACATTTTATTATATACTACAAATTTTTTTATATATAATAAAATACTATCAGTGTGCTAGATATATGAGTCTGCTTTACGAGAATTATTCAGTTAAGTCCATCTTTTGGAGAAATTATTAAGACCCAATTATATTACAACCCTTAAGAACCATGGCTCCATTTCTCAAGTTATAAGATTGAATGCTGGTTATTTTGCTAAGAAATTTAGAAAAGGAGGAATTGGAATCCAATGCCTGATAATGCACATCTGGATGTGATCAACAAGATGGAAACAAACAAATTTTGGTGTTCTGCAAATGAGATTCTTTGTAAATTCATTTTTTACATCCTTACTTTCCTTAAATAGTACATGTTTAGCTTATTAAATTATCTATCCATACTAAAGTTTTCAAAACTTCTGCACAGGTTTTCTCTATGTTAATTTCTGAGCTAGCAAGCTAAGCTAAAGCAGACAGGCAAACTTCCCCAATCTATTGTAGTTATGCATTTTCTAGGACTAAAGCTAGGTATTCATTTCTATTCCATAATGAGATAGCTGTATGCGATAATAAGAATCTCTAATACCTCAGAGTTGCAGTCTGAGAGAGCAAACTGTATGCAGAATCAGGTTTGGAAGCTCGTTATTTTTAGCTCAGGTATTAAAGGATTAGGTTGGTCTCGGTCATGTTTCTATATGTCATCTGTCCTTTTTTTATTTCTGAAATGATTCTGTTGCTAAGGTTCGCTGAAACATACTGTGGGCTTGTATTTAATGGAAAATGCTACTTCAAACAATGATCTACTGATCTTAGGTTGCCTAATCCTGAATCCAATTCATGCTTTTGTAATTTCACAAATGTTTTGGGCAGTGTTCCGAGACTTGGCCGAGGCCACTTGAAATTGGCCGAGTAACTCGGCCTCATCCTAAGGGCGAGGCAAGTTTCCGCCGAGTACAGTGTACACCAAAGTCTTCTAGACTATATAAAATACTATGTCAATTTCAAGTCATAAGTTGCACGAATAGCTTTTTGGATAGTAGTCACGCCTATGCTCCATCACAGCCGGGGTTTGATTCCCACTGATGTCATTTTTTTATTTTTATTTTTAGAATAAAAAGAAACAAAAACAGCGTACAGGGGCTGAAAAAAAAAGAGTTCGTGGGAATCGAACCGAAGACCCCTTCATAATGGACGCGCAGCGACTTTGCCATTCGACAATTAACTTTTAAAGGGGGAAGGTTATATTATATGTATGCTTCCTTTGTCTATGTTTTTTTTCAAAAAAGGGATTGAACTCGGGCGAGTTCTCGGACTCGCCCAAGCAACTCGCCTCGGCCAAGGTCTGGGTACCTTGTCGGGTCGTGTTTCAGAACACTGGTTTTGAGAGTAACATATATCGTAGTGGGCTATGGATATGGCGACTCCCGTTACTGTTTTCTGTAATTTAACATGTGTTTTGATTCCTTTCGACAGGAATCAGCATGGATATAGCACCTATGTTCGGTTACCTATGCATTGTAATTAGTGGCATGTTATTCCCTAAGCCATATGCCGATGCACCTATATTCAGTTACCCAAGCATCGTAATTAGAGGAATGTTATTCATTCAGCCATATCCATGGCCTTGCTTATTAACTTGCATATGCCATTGTTCTACTCTTACTACCACGAGTCATGTCACAATTTTTCAATAGATTCTTTCTTGTTTAAGTGGTCATACTCGTACCAGACTTGCAACAAGTAGCAGTAGTGTTAGAAGGCTAGAATGCTTAAAACGTTCACCTCCATCCTCTTCTAGTTGCCATGTCATCTTCTTCCACTTGGTTTCACAAAGGACACCATTGGCACAAAGAAACCTAGTATATAGAAACCAATTTGATGATCTGGGAAAGATGCTCAGTGATACTTATTACAAAGATGCCTTTCTCCGTGTTTTTTAATATTAAATTTCTTTCATTTGCGCCGGAGAAGCAGAAACATGGTTTATAATAACTAGATAAGATGCCAGTTTCCAAAAAAAAAAAACAACTAGAAAAAGGCCACTTCGGGTTTTTAAAAGATATGTTTTTTTGCAGCTGGGATTCCTCAAGAAAGATTTGGAAGAAGCAAAGCTTGGTCTCCAAGAGTCGGAGAACAAGCTCAAGTTCAAAGAAGAGACGGCAGCAGCAGCCATGAGTGCACGTGATGCTGCTGAGAAGTCTCTCCGCCTTGCAGATGCCAGGGCTGCCAGGCTTACAGAGAGAATTGAAGAATTAAACCGGCAGCTCGAGGAGTTGGAGAACCGGAGTGACTTAAGTATTCTGAGAAGGCAAAGATACATTTGTTGGCCATGGCAATGGTTGGGTTTGAATTTTGTTGGTCCCCGTCCTGATGCTGATCAAAATACCAATGAGATGGAGCTCTCAGAACCTCTTTTGTAGGTTGATTGTATAATCTCAGTAATTATTTTTAATATAAAATAGGTGATGAAGGTTTTGGTCTACTTGCGCATGTCTTGATAGAAGCTTCGTGTAATTTATTTTACTTTCCTTGCTTTTCAGAAGAGGTGCATTTCCTTGGTGACCTTGCATTCATTGAGAAAATCGTCGTTCTAATTCTTGGTTGCTCATGATTCTAGATCTTGGATGAACTGAATTTTGTGTGTTCATTCGTCCTTGCAGTTCAGAGCATATGAAGAAATCTCATGTGGTATATTATAGGAGCCATATGTTGCTGGATGTTACTTCTTTGTGAGAGAATTTCGCCATTAATGCGTCGCTGCTCTCACAAATGGAAGAAGGAAAATTCTATTTGCATTATCTTATGGCTCATTTGTTCAATGGAAATTTAGACCACAATTCAATAGTCTATGAAAATCCACACGCATTCAGGTCATCACCCTCCATGAAATGGAAGGTAATGAAAGGAGAGTTGGATCCACAACTGGGCCATGTCTTATTTCTGATGGGTCTCGTTCCTCTCCATCATCATTGTTAGTAAAATCGCCTGAACTAACCGCTAACCTCCCCGTTAGATCGGAACCGGCCATTGACCAGTTCCGGTTTTGGGCTGCTAGGGTGATCAACTGGTATTTTTTTAAAAACAATTCAAAAAAATGTATATAAATTCTCAAAAATAAGAAATTTGATTTGTAATGCATTTTTAAATATTCTTTACATTATGGTAAAGATTAAAAATTATTTTGGTCATTAATATTCACTTTTATATTTTCCTATTTTTTTAAAAAAATTTAAAAAATAGCCATTGGAAAATATAAAATGCATTAAAATCCATTTTTTCCATTAATTTTCAACTTTAATTCAATGTGTTTCGTTTTAATCATTAGTTATATGCTTTTCATATTTTAATACTTTTTTGACCGCCTAGGACTTTTTTGACCGCCTAGGACTTTTTTTTTTATTTCTTTCAATACTTTTTTGACCGCCTAGGACTTGTTCGATTAGAGCGGTTGAATCGGCCGGTTTACTAGTTAAGCCGGTTAAACTGCTTCTAGACCCATGTCCGGTTAACCGTTCTCGTTTGATTTTGCGAACATTGATCACCATCATTCGTTTAATTGAATGATATTGGTCTCAATGGACTAGGACAATACCAGTGCATTCCATATAATATAATTGCCCTTTTAACAAATATTTCAAAAACAATCTTGAAGATAAACGATAAAGTACTCAATTGCCTGGTGAAAGGAATAAGAAACTGCGAGAAAGAATTGATGAAACAAAAATGCCAGGAATGACTTTGGTTTAACATCATTTTTGGTGTTGGTCTACTTTTTTTATCCTGTATGTAATCTAATTATGCAGTGTCCTTTTGATTCAATATATTTGATAAGGAAACCAGCAAAATGCTCTTCGTGTGTTAATCATCACACTTCTTAAGGAAAATGGGACAGATATTAATCCAAGTTAAGATGACCCATCTAAAAACACAAGCATCATCATCATCATAGATTTTTTCTAACTGTTTGGGATCGGCTACATGAATCTGGGTTTGTCATTCTGCTCATCTAAAAACATAATCACTTACTAAATGAAGGCAAAATGTTCATCATTTTAAAGGTAGGACATCATGGTTTTGTCTGATTGATCGCAATCAAAATTCATGCAAAAATGTATCCTATGGAAGCCATTGGTGGTATTATTCCCAATCACCTTGGATTTATTTTCCTTTATCCAGGAATTATATATATGAAAGTACAGATTGTGTTGTAAGCCAATGTATCTAAATTGCTAATTTCACCAAATTTGGGATTAAAGTGAACTTTGGGAGTTTCATTAACTGGTTCAAACATTTATAAGTAGGAAGTTGAGAAATTTGGGGAGGTAAAAGGAATTATTATGTTAATCTTTAATATGGAAATAAGAATCCCGCGGGCTTAATTGGCACCAAAATGTATGTCTATCAGCTAGCGAATTAACCATAGATGGAAGTTGATGCCAACTTGCTTCCGAAAATATGTATCTTTTGATGAAATCTTTGAGATATTTTATGAAGTATATGCTCTCTAATTTAGTAAGAAATATATACAATTATCTTAATTAGTGTTTGAGAGCTTAAGGGTTATGTCCGTCACGATCCTATGGTAGTTAGAACACTTGGAATTGCAGTGATGAAATTTAAAATAGTCAAATGCATCAGAAGCAGACTGGTCATTGAAGCGGTTTGGAGCTGGTCTGGTCAAACTGGCCGAACTACCTGAATTGTTGGATTGGATTTAACAAAAATAAAATAAAAATCATAAAGAATAGGTTTAAAATATAAAATATAAAATATATTACAAAAATTTGCCCAAACTCGTTTAGTAAGTTGAAATGGTCAAAACGGGTTTGTCCAACTAGCCTAATTTGGTACGATCCATCTGGTCTTGATAAGAACGCTAACTTCTGATTCTCGTGATTTGTGAGTATGGTCGTCTCTTATAACAATAGTAGGAATACTGTCCATCAGATGAATATGAGATTCCCTTCCCTTGAATTTGTAATTTTGTGCTCTTTCATATCTGTCTCTTGTAGAAAAAAAGGGAAGTGCAAATTTGTTAGCTTTAACTCCTTTAAAACAAGTAGTAGTGACTGGAGCCTTTATAGCTGCAAACTTGTTGGCTTTAACTCCTTTAAAGCAAGTAATAATGATTAGGGCCTTTAAACCGCTTGAAAATCACTTATATATAGACAAAGATCATTGTTATAAGTTGATCACGGTCAAAAATCAAGGATTGCTTTAAAATTTCCAAGCTGAGAAACGCCTTCAAATCGAGTGGAAGGCAGTGGACTTGGTTTGCTGGTGACACAGATTGATATCTCAATCAAACAATAGCCAAAAATCAGAGGTTCCTTACTGCAGCAAAAACAAAGTGTTCCAATTAGATGTAACAAAAAGGAACATAAGACTCTCAAGCTCAAATTTTAACTCGTTTCCATGTCCAATACTAGAAAATTTTCTTCTGGGGATCATTATAAGTCACTTCTCATGGAATTTGGTCTTAACCGTGGCTAAAAATTGTTTTCCGAACAACAATCAAAGAAACTCATAAAACAAAAACCAAAGTTGGTAACGACGCAAAAAAAAAATCATTGAGCACAAACTTTGCTCACGGGGGTTTCTGGAACATATAATCTTCTCTGTATACTAACTTATGTGAGCTGCTATATTTCACTGTTGACCCCGAGGCTGGAGATGCTCTCATTGTCTTCATTCTTCATTGGATTAATCGCCATCAACTTAGTAACTCTTAAGATGCAGTTGAATCCAAATGAATAATACCTCCAAGGAAAGGTACATCTGAGCCAAGCAGGGGACCAAACTTACGGAAGCAAATTATGGAAAATTTGTTAAAGCATTTTAATGATTGCATTCTTCGAGAAAGTTGGTTTGAAACACAAATCAAAACTAACCCCCCACTCGTTTTCAGCAACTTGATTGTGTTGGCAGACCAAGAAAGGCAATACGTTAATGAAGGTCAGCAAAAGTCTTGAACCTTCACATAGTGTTAGGCTGTAGGGCATCCAGAACAGTGAAAATGAACCTTGAATTATGTTCCTATGTAATATGTTAACGTCCTACATAACATGTTTTCTTTCTAGATTTGTATTTTTTCTGAATAACATGCATTTCTCTTTGACTTATGTACCATATCCTAGTTTCATAAGCGCTCCAGGTATGACCCAATTCTTCTAGAGAGCGGCCATTTTTTTATTCTCATATAGGTATGTCCATGGGGACTGTCTCTAAAGCTCAGCACCCTCACCTAGGTCAATTTCATTGAGATGAATTAATTGATTAAGAGCTCAACTCAACCTCATTTTAGGTTGCAAATCTTTACAGCACAAAGGCAAGGATGAAGCAGGAAAATATTCTTTCATTCAATGTATTCATGTATAAACCTGGGACTTGGGATCACCTTGTTTACCAGGTAGGGATCTTATCACCCTGCGAAGTGTTCTAAGTGGACCTCAATCCCATCCCTCTAGTTGTTTTCTAAACTTGGTCCTTTGAAAGAACTTTGGTTAGTGGATGTTCTGATTAGACAACTAGTAGTAACCACTCCATCTTAGTGATTGCCTCAATTCACAATGCCTCAAGTGGATGCGACTCGAATTTCTATTATATATTTTACTTACCACTCGATAAACAACTTCACACAACCATGGTAAATTAAGATTACAAGTTTAGACTTTTGAGGGAATGATACATCTACCATGAAGTTTCTTAACCAAACTAGTTCTATATTAGTGCCCTCCAAGGCAAACAAATATAATTCTTTGTTATCTACAGATACACTTCTACTTCTTCGAGCCTCATGCAGCTATACCCCCACTAAAGGTGAAGTCCTACCAATAGTAGCCTTAGATTAATTAGAATCCAATATCCACTTTGCATCGCTATATCCTTTTAGTATAGTGGGTTCGCCCATGTATTGTAATTCATAGTTTATAGTCCCTTTGGGATAGTGCACAAACCATTTGGATTTATTCCATGCTTAAGACCTAGATTACTGGTAAATCTATGTAGTTTGCCCATGGCATAACTAATGAATATGGTATACTCTAGTTGGGGGGAATAAATTACATATATATATATATATATATATATATATATATATATATACTAATTAGTAGGGTAGGGGGTTG